GGTGGTAAAGGTGGTGGTAAAGGTGGTGGTAAAGGTGGTGGTAAAGGTGGTAAAGGTGGTAAAGGTAAAGTGGTGGTAGTAGCAGTCTGATGGTGGTAGTGTTTGTGTCCTGCTCCTCTTCCTACTTGCCCCTTTTTCCGCTGCTACTCCCTCCAAGTGGCAAGAACCTATGGCGGAGGACGTCATCACGCTGTGGGTGCCTTGTGGCCTGATGTCTCTGAAGGTGTCAGAATGAAACTCTTGTTCGTCGATGCCTTTTTGCCTTGCGACACCCGCGCAAGCGTTGCACATAGATGTAAGACAAATTGCCTCTCGTAGTCAGCCACCAGTTCAAGTGAACGTGGGTGGCGGCAAACAGTCTGGCATTAAGCCAAAGACCCTCCTTCTTCTTGTGAATGATGTGGTCTATTTGCCACAGAGCTGTCCCGTGTCTCTCGCCGTCATCATCCAATTGGTGTAGCTCCAGGTATTCCTGGTTGCCAAGTAAATGGATCCAGGGACCAGGCATACCGCTCGCAATCGGCCCGCACGCTCGCAAACGAGCCCCAAGCACTTGAGCACTTGAAAACCAAAACGGCAATGAGCATAAAAGCTCGTGCACTGACAAGGATCGTGACACTCGTGGAAATACTGTATACAGTATTTGTTTGAAACGTTCTTTGTGAAACGAGCTTGACTTGCTTGAGAGGCTTCGACATGCTGAATCTTGTGCGCTAGGTTTTCTGGCACGTAAGTTTTGTGTGTGTGTGTGTGTCTGTGCGTGTGAAGCTTTCACTGGAGAGGTTGAGATTTCTCCTTGAGACCGTCGGTATGCCAAGCTTGAGGTGTGCTCTGGATTCATTTGGTTAGCAAGGCATTTGTGTTTGGGTCTTTCCAGCTACCTCAACACTCAGGATCTTCAGGCGATGCTTAGGAGGAAAAAGGAAGACAACGAGACGACAACCAGGATGGAGGCCAAAGCAAGTAGGACAAGCAAAACATGAACTAGGAGACATAAAGAGAGAGAGAGAGAGAGAAAGAGGAAAACAAGAGGACAACCACAAGGTCAGTTGTCAACTAGCAATGCTTGGCTCTTGCTACTGCCACGTTTCAACTGCCCCAGCTCTTGCCAGCACTGCCAGCACTACGACTGCTGCTGCAACTGCAAATCTTGCCACTCCAACTAGTCACTTCGCTCCAGCATTGATGATACGGACCAAGTCAACGCAAAGCAGGCAAAGCAGGAGGTGAGCAAACATACAATAAGTGGCATGGTGGTCGTAGGCAACACTGTAATTAGTGGCAGCCACACAAGCTGCCATAGGAGCTCGGCAGGCCATTTTCTCCTTTGCGGTATGTTTGCCAACGCCTTCAAACTTTGACTTGCGAGGGTCATCCTCTTCGCTGCTTAAACATTTTCTGACCTTTGAATGCTCCCGAATGCTCAGGCCCAAACGAAGATTGAGATCTTGAGCGCTGAAAGGCCGGCGGCGGCAACTCTTCAAGCTCAAAAACCTCGAGTGCGGAAGAAGCAAGAAAGCTCTGACCACCTGCCTTTGAATGGAACATAAATGGCCCAAAAATGAGGAGAAGGGAAATGTGGTGTTGGTGATAGTGCAATCTGCTGCCCTTAGCTGTTGTGATTTGTACACTTGTCATGAATTTATGAGACACGTCGCAAATGATGGTAATGGGATTGATTGATGCAGCTCAGAACATATGAGCTGGCAAAGAGCGAATTGAGATGAAATCCGGCACGGTACACGAGCAAAGGTGAACAGTGAGGTCAACCAGGACAAAATCCAAGGAGATTGACGTGTGCAAATTCTTTGCCAAGAAAGAGCTCTCTGAATCCTTTGAGATCCGTATTCCTCCCTGCAACAGCCCTATGCTGAATTTGATGATGCCTTGTATCTATATATAATATATATATAATACATATTATATACATAAATATATATATATATACAGTATATATATAATCCTGGAATCTCTTTAGAAAGGTTTGGTCCCTGGACGATGGATCCTGCAGCTGGAACCAGCAAAAGTAATGAATGAACCATGAGTCACATATCCGGTTGCCGCCAGCTTGCTGCTGAACCATTCCAAGCCAAAGCGGTCCAAAGTTGTGTCGGGAATCAACAAAGTCTTGAAAGATTGCTGATTTTGTAAGCGTTGCGCGACGGGCAAACGGGCATCTCTGGCCTGCAGCGCGATTGCATGCTGAGCGAGTACTCGATCCACTCTTTATGCAATTGAAGCTTACTATAACTTACTGTACTGGAATCTGTGTCATTATCCTTTGGTCCCAGCTGTTTTGCGATGGAGCAGCGTCGTCCGCGGGCTGCTTCGTGACCACAGTCGAATTCATCACCGCTGGACTTGCGGTCCAGCCCAACTGCCATAGGCAGTTACGCTCCGGGCAGGACTTCACAACAAATGCGCGCCACAAACGGAGGGCGGGAGAGTGGCTCTGCCACAAGTGTTTGGCTTCCATCGGCGTGGGAAGCAAGGATGCCGGACGGTGACGACGTCCACAGGCTCTGCCCAGGCATAGGCAAAGCGGCAACAGGATTGTTGGATTGCCTGAGAAGAGATGCTCATCAGGTGATCATGGCTTTATTACCTACAACAATGCGCTTGGCAGTGAGGTGGTGGTCCGTGAGCGGTTAAGGCACACATCAAAATGTGTGGAGCGAAGCGGGTGGAAATGGAACTATACACCCCCAACCTGTCGAGCATATCACAACTGCCCTGCACTGACATTGCAAGCGCCCTCCTGATAAAATACTGCGGTACAACATTGAGTTCCTGCGGAAAAGAAAAATTCTGATGAGGACATTGACTTCCAGTCTCCTCTTGTTCTGAAACTCCACATGCATACTGTTTCCGCAAAGCTCTGGAGATAGAGTGTGTATGTGTTTGTGTTGTTCTAAACGGGCAAATTCGCCAGGTGGCAATGCTACTGAACTGAAAACAGCTCCTCAGTCTATCTTTGAATTGTCAGGCCCCCACGTCAACTTCCGCTGGCTGGATGCCAGGCGAAACAGCCCTTGCCTGTCACCATACACGTTCTTTTTGCAATCTTTCACATTGTGCAAATTCTTCTTTCTACCACTCTCAAGAAATTTTATCGAGAAGCTTTTGACATCTTGTTTAGGAGGCAAAGATGGAGACTGATTGTAGTGATATGGCATTTTGGTGGGAAAGCTAAGTCAGAACAAGGATCTAAGAAGAGTTCCTCTGCAGGCAATCGACCACCAAGCATTGCAGTCTTCTTTCCTGCAAGTCTCATCAAAGCTGATCTATATCAAATAGCAAGTGTCCAAGCAAGGCCAAGCTGGACGCCTTTTAAAGCAATCGGCACTTTCATTGCCATGAGGTGAAACTACTCCCACCACAAACCTTGAAGGAATTGCAATTCTGAAGCTAAATCCCCAGGGGCCAAATACCCACGTCGGTCGGGGAAAACAAATTCTACAAAGAACCAAGGCTGCACTGAGGAGGTGTTGGAATTGGAATTGTGGGTATGAGTACCGTACGGCGGGCCAGCGGGCGCCGTCTGTTTTCATCCAGCTGTCACGACAGTGTGCTGTGAGCCATCAAGGAGATAGCAACAGGAATTGGACAGTGCTAGCAGCTAGCAGAACAAGGGTTAGAAAAAGGATCTGAAAAACATGAAGGTAAGGGCCCCTTTACAAAGCGGCCCTTACCCTCCTTCATATTCCTGGTTTTAATCTGTGTTAACCCTATCTTTCTGCTCACTTCGCTCCCAGAGGCCTTCGGACCCTGAAAACGCTGCTCTCCAAGTTTTATCCGGCGAGACGGAGCGACGCTCACAGCACAGGCTGCCCTCGGTTCAAATGCCAGTTGGGTCATCTCACAGGCGCAAACACCCTTTAACAGCCGCATATGATTGAGACTAACTCTCACCTTCAAAAAAAGGACTGGGTATTAAGTATCCTTCTATGAACAGTTCTGGCCGGATTTGGGCAAAATGAGCAAGGACACTCAAACACTTGATTCAAACTGCTACGGTCACACTTCTGCAACAGGTACACGGCCTGCTTGCATAGATGACACACCTCTCCCTTCTGCATACGCACCTCCGCCAACTGTACTGCCACCGTGGGCATGGACGAAGTTCTGAACCTGCTGAGCGTAGAAGGGCTGTAGTTGGGCAAATTCAGCGAAGAGTGCCTCTGCTTCAGCGGGATTGGGTTGTGAATCCCGTCCAAGACGAGATGCCAAGAATGCGTGCCATTGCGTCAGGGCAGCTTTGAGCTCCGCAGGCAACATCTCCATCTGCTTCTCGCAACGCTTCTGCCGGATCTTCTCCACCGCCCAACTTCCCACGCCGTAGCCAACCCCAGCACCAACGCCAACTAGCCCCAAAGTACTGAGGGATATAGCACTTAGCGTGAAATAAACAGCAGCACCAACGCCAACCTGCCACAGTGGGTCAAATTCCAAGTTGGGTAGCTACACATGGACTTTGACCTCCAACCTCATCATCCAAACACGATCCGTCAAACCCGAAAGTGAAGTCAGTGAAGTCGTTTATTTTCATAGCAGGCACGTGTGTCAAACGTCTGTGAACTAGATTAACTAGATAGATGCCACGATGGTGCGCATTGGCACACATGGGCATCTCTGGCAAACCCTGTTCGAAGGGTCTCTTAACAAACAACGCCCGCAAATCTCCATGTTCCCCAGATCCTGGCTTTGTGATTTCCGGTTCTCATACACCGTGCGGGTCCCCTGTGTGTGTGGATACATATACATATGAAGGGTTCTCCGTAAAGAACGGCTGCCATCTTGAAATGTCCAAGTATCATCATCATCATCATCACGACGATCATCACATTCACCATCAAAACCATCAGCACCGTCATCATCTGCATCATCATGTTCATTTTCATCACCATCATCATCATCGTCGTCAAGGTCGCAATCGTCATCCTCATCCTCCATCATCAAGGTGTAGGGATGCAAGAGATGCAACTGCTACAACACACCATCATCATCATCATCATCATCATCCATCATCATCATCACCATCATCATCATCATCATCAAGGCTCAGATGCTTGATGTGATTGCTAGAACACACCTACATCGTCATCGTCGTCATCATCACCATCATCCTCGTCCATCAAGAGATGCAGGCGGTGCACCTGCTATGACGCACTTACATAGATACAGGTGTTTGGATGCAGGTTTTGAGGCACAGGTGTTGAGACACCTGCAGACTCACCTTTGCAACTACAACTCGACATCGGTCTAACAATCTTCTCTTAAGGCGACGGGGCGGCCGGCGCTAAGGAAACGTGGCCCTCTGGGGAGATCGCGCGCGTCGGATGCCTGAAACTGTGGTAATATGCGAACCGTCTTCAACTTGATGACCCCTTTGTGATTCACCGGGCGCTCAAACGATGCGAACTTTTGTTGTCCTTGGCGAACCCTTTGCAGAGATTGCCCGCGCCGAGCTCAAACGTGAGCGCAATGCAAATTTGGGATGTTCTTGGTGAACTCTCTCGACTCGAGTGGTCAATGCGAAGTGAAATACAAATTTTTGCCGCTTGGTGACACGTTGCGCGCTGGACTTCACATAGAACGATGCGCTGGAGGCGGACACAGCCGGTAGAGACCCGTCACGTAGCGTCCCAACCGGTCGCTGGCAGCTCTGGCGCAGATCAAGAACCTGACCTCTCGATAGCCGATGCTGCTGCAGCTGCGTGTGCAGCTCAAAATGCTTCTTCTCTAGCTCGTCCAAGGGTACTGGCTTTTCAAGATCAAGAGGAAATAGAACCTTGGCAAAATTCTATATACATGTTACATGTCTGAGAACTGTTGCCCAAGAATCGTCCTTCTCTTGCAGTTTTTAGGCTGCATATGGTCAATACAGTTCCTCTGTAAGCAACACGTTTTCCAGATTGTTTTTCCTCACGCAGCTGTTGAGTGACTCCGAACTATGCGATTTTGCCTGCAAGGCATGGGCTGCGTATCACTGCAAGAGACGCACTGGTGCGATTGTGCTTGAGAGCACGTGAAGGGCTATCAGCCCTGCAGCTGGTGGAACTTGAAACGCTCATCTTCGGTCCGCGTCGGTTCCTGAAGTGGGAGAATGGGGAGGGGCGCCCGCCACCTCCAAATCCAGCTCGTAGCCCTTTGGCTTCAAGCCAACCTTGCACTCCTTCCGGCGCCAAAAGCAATAGGCAGCTTTGCTCGTCCATTTGCAAGCTGGGCGATTAGTCTCACCAAGACCGTTGATCAAGGTCACGTCGCTGAAGATGCACCGGCCTGGATATCTTGCGCGAAGAACACTCTGACATCCAGCATCCAATCCGGCAAGGTTGCTTTTCAGCTGCGCCAAAGATTCCATAGCACTCTGGAAGCGTCTGGGAACCAGGGTTCAAAAGACTTAACCGTGGAGTCAAATCCTCTCCAAAAATGAATGCAGCCCAGGTCGGGAATCCTGTGGTTTGGCACCGTCACGCGCAACTGAGACTTAACTTTGCAGATCAGTCTTTTAACCCCTTCAAGAGACTGAACTTCGGAGTTTTTCCTGGAGCAAAACAAGGTTTATATCCTCAACATTAAGGACCCGGGTTTAACTAAGGCATGAAATGACGGACCCGGGTTGAACTAAGAAATACAATTACAGGCTTGGGCTTACTGGAGAAATTGAAATAAGAAACCCGAGTTGAACTAAGAAATGAAACCACAAACCTGCATTTAGTTAAGGAATGAAATGGGATTTGAGTGAAATGACAAAGCCAAATTTAACAAATGAAATGACAGACCCGGGTTTAACTAAAAAAATGAAGTGGCGGGCCGGGTGTAACTAAGAAATGAAATGACAGGCCGTGTTTTTTTGGTAGGGCATGAAATGACAACCTGGATTTAACTGACAAATGAAACGGCGGCCGAGGTGCAACTAAGAAATGAAAAGACAGGCCAGGTCTGAGGGAATGAGACGACAGGCCGGGTTTAACTAGGCAGTGAAATGACAGGCCGGGCTTGACTATAGGAAATGAAATGACGGGCCGGGCTTAACTAAGAAATGAAATTACGACCTGCAATGACAGGCCGGGCTTAACTAAGAAATGAAATGACAGGCCGGGCTTAACTAAGAAATGAAATGACAACCTAATGACAGGCCGGGTTTAACTAAGAAATGAAATGATAGGCCGGGTGTAATTCTATGTGGTAGAGGTTTACTGAAGAAACAATACTTCCGCAACAATACGGTAGTGCCCGGCAAACATTCACGACAAAAAGGTTGAACTCTACAAGTAGAGTTTAAGATTCGGCAGCTGCTCCCAAGAGCAAACTCACTAGAACAATTACATCTTTAGATTCAGATATTCTTTAAGAATTAATACAACAAATGAAGACAAACGCCTGAAGGATCTCCAAACTATAGAGGAAAGCCAATCAATGACTGAACTCTGGAGCTATATAATCCTAAAAAGGAACAGATCAACTGTAAAGTTTAGACCTTGAACTCTGAGGCTCAATCCTTTCTTAGCAATCGCTTCCATCCTTACACCAGAGAAGGATGTAATGACATAGGTCCGGTCAAGCTGGACAAGAGCTCCTTGAACACGCCACGCGCTCCTTCGTGGCGCTGGGCTTCAAAGCGCTGGATCCGACTGACGCTGATGATGGGCTCCTTTGCGATCATCTTTCACACCTAGATGATCATGAATAACGACGAGCTTAGACATTTCGTGCACGGGGTAGAAATATGAAAGCCTGTGATTAAAGCGTGGAAAGGAAACGGGATTGGAGAAGACTTCCTGTGCGTCGATACAAACGCAAAACGTGATCGAACAGAAGTGAAGCTCCATCACAGGATCTGTTTCGCGCCGCAGGCAGTGTGAGTAAGATGCGTCGACTTCAACTGAGCCCCGAACAGATGTTAAAAAGCCAATGGATTTGCGCAGGGACACCAATTATAATGGTTACCAGAAAGAACTCGCAGAAATCATTCAGAGACCGGCTGCTACAACACACAAGGCAAGGGCTCGTTTATAGTTCCAGGACCATCAACGCGGCACGATTCCAAGAGACAGTCCAGCGTTAGGAAAACAATCCGGAAGGCAATTGATTTGCTCTATGGGCTGGACTCTTGCATGTTTGGACATCGCCCTATGGCAGGGCGCTAGCAATCGAACCAGTGAATGAACCGCGAGAGGCCGTGGGCTGCAAGACGAACCAGGCAAGCAAACCAGAGAAATCCGCATACGGCCTGACCGATGCACCCACCCCACTTGTGGCATGAAGAGCTCGGTAGAACCCTAACACCTGCCCCCTTCGATCCATGCGCATATGTGAACTGAATAAGCCAGGTCGAAGACAGCCGTCTGGAATATATTAGTTCACGTGGGCGATGGCTTGCGTGGAGGCGACGGGTACTTTCAACAAGAGATTTCCAAATCAGACAAGAAAACATGCCAGCTCACGGCCACCAGAGTGGACAGCCAAACCACCAAAACCCAGATCAAAGCGCCGCCGTGTCCCAAACCAAGCACGTGAGCAAGTAGAGCCAATCCATGTGAGCCCAAACTGACCAAAATGTCTGTCGCTCAGAGCCAGTGGCTTCCGAAGAGAAACACAGTCTCCACGCATTGGTATGATAGTTTTGGCCACCCGTAACGACATGAACAATTGCCGTCCAGCGAGTCCTTCGCCGTGGGGCAAGAGAATCCAGGTTGTGACGGTTGTACTGGGCTTGGTTGCTAGATTCCCTTCGACCTCGTGGCTCGGACGGCTCAGACGAACTGCAAAGAATTTACGACCCGGTTGCAAGTAAGGAGTAAGGGCTATACAGGACCTCTTGGCCCATGGCCTTTCCCTATATAGGCTCGCAGATGCGTTGACTAAAGTTACTCATAACATTTTAACATAACCATTTCTTAAGGCATATGCTGAGTCAGGGCCGCTATCAACTCCGTGACGAGCTACAAGTGCTGAAACAGCGAGTTGTCCTTGGGCTGATCCAACGTCCCAAATGAAAAAGAACACTGTTAAGATTTTCTGGAGGGATGCGAAACCAGAAGCGTGGGCCACATGAAATGTCTCCACTCTCAGCCCCGGTTTCGGCACGAGATCGTCGGGCGTTGCGGGAGGACCGTGGATGGGCTTGGACACACGCGGGGCTGCGTGATCTTTCGATAGAGGTGAGGCACCTCCCTGGCGGTTGAGCAAGCAAAACAACCATTGGCTGGCTTGACCGCTGCAGAAGGGGCAGAGTTAGACAGTTAGGATCCAAAGTTGGGGCGATCCCCGAACTGGTTGGTGTGGTCGTTTGGTTTTGGTGTGGTTACCAATGACTAAAGGATCAAAAGTGTTTTTCTAAATCAAAAAGTTGAGCCAATAATAGAACCAAAAAATCAAACATGACCAAGAAAATAGCCAAAGAAGAAATATGGTTTTGGTTGGCTGAGTTTGGTTCAATGTGTTTTGATCCTCTGCGTTTCAACTCTTTTGGATGTGCCTGCTGAACTTCTGTGGTAGGCAATGCTTACCTTTGAAGAAATGAGATGAGACTGGTGTCTGTAGAACTTCAGTAGCAGAGCAAACATCGAAGCCAAGAAGCGAAGGACAGGTAAACAGGAACTTAGATAACTTAGTTTTCGGCAAGGTGCAGGAGGCGGAGGCTGTTTTGGCCGTTAAAAGAAGGCTGGAGGGGGTTTGGGGGAGAGCGCAGGGCCTCCCCCCAAAGAATGACAAATAGTCGTGTAGCAGAACAAATAGATAAGCAGAGTAAAGAAATGGAAGCATTCAAAAGGACTTATACTAGGGTGAGATGACTTAGGCCAATTGGGTCGAAATGACATACAACTTTCCCAGGGCAAGTCCTAAGTCATGTACAAATGTTATACAGGGCAATTTCATTGGCACACACTCATGACATAGGCCTTGTTGACCTGGTCCTGAGTTGTTTTTTCTATTTTATTTTTTTTTGGGGGGGTGGTGGGGGGCATGCTCCTGGAAGATTAGAGCTAATGAAAGTCCACATGTCCTGTCTCATTAAGAACACATTACTATCTCATTTAAGTCTGCCTTTGTGCGTTTTTGCTCTCAAATTCCTATCTCTCGATGGTAAATTCATTGTTTAGATACCAAAGTCGTATGTCATGATGCTTGTCAATATAAAATCAACTGTTTTTAGGATCTTTGGTGACAACCTCTGGCATCTCTGATTTTGAGGTTTTTTCCAAACTTTTGCTTCATGACATAAATACTTGTGGGGGGTAGGCTAAACCTTCATGACTTAGCCGCCGCAATTTGGAGGTAGTTGTCACAAGTCCTTTGTCATTTGCTGTTTTGGCCGTTAAAAGAAGGCTGGAGGGGGTTTGGGGGAGAGCGCAGGGCCTCCCCCCAAAGAATGATAAATAGTCGTGTAGCAGAACAAATAGATAAGCAGAGTAAAGAAATGGAAGCATTCAAAAGGACTTATATAGATGAGTACAATAGTTCCGTGGGAAAACGGCCAGCAGTGAGATGCAATGGCTGCAATGCGCTTAGCATCTCACATAGAATGATGGCTGTTATCAAGATCACCGAAGCACGAGCTACAAGAAAAGCATATTTCAAGCTGGCATCTGCGGGCGTCAGGAATGATCCTTCCTCCCTTCCTCCCTTCCTCCCTTCCTTCCTCCCTTCTGTCGTTCTTTCTGGTTGTTTCGATGCGGAAAAAATGATCCGGATATGTACAGCACTTTTGATATCGACAAGATATCGAGCTTCATTCATCTATTCGATCTCCTTACCACGCACCAGCTGTCACAATAGTTGCTAAAGGAATCAACTCCTCATCTTTACTGCTGTTTCAGTTGCCCCATACAAAGCACTGACGGCTTTGCAAGAGCAATGATAATACTGTATATGAACGTATGAATTTCGGTATGGGAGAGCGCACGGATTTGTGAGAGTGCAGGGTGCCCCACCAAGAACGCGATGCGGTTCTGGGGGCGGCTACTTAGTGAGAGCCAGTCTGCAGCCACCTCTTCGTTCGTTCCAGGTCGGTCCTTCTTGGCAAGTTTGCGTGTTCAAGTCTTGCGTTCCAGTTCGACTTCGTATGTCTCGCAGCTTACCCGTCCCTTGCCTCCCTATTTCGAGCGGTACAGGAAGCGTCGTTGGAAAAGAAACCCCCATTGTTGTGTAAGACACACGATGGTTGGAAATTCTCGACAAAAGCTAATTAAGCACGTCAGGACACAGACTTTAGAGCCACACACAGCCTATCTTGATATTGTATACGGTCATCCAAAAGTGTATCTGTATCTATCTGTCAAATTGCCCGAGACCATAATTAAGACTTGACGAGGGGAGGAAATGCAAGATTTGTTGGACAATTTTGACCAGGTTGATCACGATGTTGTTACGGAAGCTCAGCGGGCCGAGTCCGTCTCTATAGATTCTATAGCTCCAAAACCTTCTCCCTTCTGTCCAAAAGCAAGACAGGATTTGATACTCCCAGGACCAACACCGCAAGCTTCAGGCAAGCGACTGCGGGCAAAAGCCCCTCCGAGCGGAGTCCAGAGCTTTGTGGGGGAGCCATCGCACCAACGGTTCTTGCTTGAGAAAAAAACTGCAGTCCGAAAAGGCAGGGGTTCGTCGTTTCATGATTTGTCGCCGCTGAGTGCCTATGTGCCTCCTGGCAAAGACATTTCACAATGCGTTTTCTGTGTGAGCTTGGCGATGCATCCTTTTTTCGGACTTTGTCTCGTTGGTTTAGCCATGGCGCTATCATGTAACAAGCGCGAATGGAAAAGTCAATATCAAGCGATACCAAAAATGCGATCGTGACGATTTGCCTTACAGGTCAAACCAAAAACAAATTAAATGGAACGCGTCGACGCACGCGTTTGGCTTCAGCTCCGGAGTCTTCCTCTCGCAAATGTTCACTTGTAGAGATTCTCTGAGAGGCCCAAAATCTCCACTATGCGGCCTTGCTTTGTCTCTTAGAAAGACACAATTCACACTCATCACTGCGTGTTCAGGCTCGTGCCCAGTGTCTTTGTTGCCTTGTCCGCCAAATTCTTTGACCGCAGAAGGTAGTCCTGCGCGAACGTTGCTGACATCACTGTAGCCACTTGGATCTTGCCAGGCTGCGAGTCCTCTGTCCGGTCACGTCCGCCACCTGGGTTCGCCTTGAATGCACTTGCATCGCGTATGGCATTCAATGCTGCTGACTGCCTCTGCCCAAGAGGAAGAATAGGCCCATTCGTCAGCCTCTGTGGCAAGCAAATTGAGCCGAGCAGTGATTCACGAGTATACATGTGTATATATATATATATCTATATATACACTGGCCAAATGAAAGTTGCGCTTGTTGACTTTGAAACTCATGACAACCCTATCCCCCTAGATTTAAAAGGGTGTGATAATTGACTGCCCCATACCTGCCCCGAAAATCAGACTTGTTAATTCGATCCGCCGCTGACCTCAGAGTGTTTTGCAAGAAGGCTAACAAGCGTAAACTTTTGTCTGCCTGAAGTACAGAGTAACAAGTGGCATCGCTACTAGTAATAGGTGCATGACTACTAGTAACAAGTGCATCGCTACTAGTAACAAGTGCATCGCTACTAAGTTACTAGCAACAAGTGCATCGCCACTAGTAACAAGTGCATCGCTACTAGCAACAAGTGCATCGCTATTGGCCTCAAGGGCATCGCAACTAGAAACAAGTGAATCGAGTAACAAGCGCATCGCTACTAGTAACAAGTGCATCGCTATTAGTAATAAGGGCATCGAAGTGCATCGCTACTAGTAACAAGTGCGTCGCTACTAGCAACAAGTGTATCGCTAATAGTAACAAGTGCATCGCTACTAGTAACAAGTGCATCGCTATTAGTTTCAAGGGAATCCCTACTAGTAACAAGTGCATCGCTACTAGTAACAAGTGCGTCGCTATTAGTAGCAGAGCACTATTAGTAACACGTAACAAGTCCATCGCTACTAGTAACAAGTGCATCGCTATTAGTAACAAGAGCATCCCTATTAGCAACAAGTGCATCGTTACTAGTAACAAGGGCATATTGTGCCTGTTCAGTATAGAACATCCTTGAAAGAGCTTAATGGGGCCTGCGTTTGGATTCTGTCAAAATCCTACCTGATGAAAAAACAATTCCTGAAAACTGTATATATACATATAGATTATAGATAATTAGACAGGCATTAGGCCCCTGATAGCAACTAGCTTTAAAAACAAACAGACAGACAGACAGACAGACAAGTGGGGAGGCTCGCGTTTCGAAGCACAGAACAGTTGAAAATGCCGCTCCAGCATATGCAGGATAATATGATTCGTCGTTGCGTGTAAAGTATGTGCGTACAAAAACATATGCAAACAATGCAACAGGATGCTGTGCGGGCAAGCATCACGCGCTAGCGTTCAAACATAGCAAGGGCAACGCAAAGCCAGACTATTCGGAGGTTCCTGCTTTCTTTGATCTTTTTCTCTTTCAGGAAGGTCTCATCTTTCTCAAATCCACTCCACCAAATATAAAGACCCTAACCTTCATGAGAAACAACCCAGGCAATGTAAAACAAGTCCAGAAACACCTTAAGGGTCAGTCCGTCTTCAAAAGGATATTCGCGCGAAGTCCTTCGGGGACATTTTTTCCCCAAACAGTTTACTGTTAGGGGTTCTCAATTCTTTCTTAAGATGTGTCCGCCCTTTGCGTCACTGCTGGTGTCCGCCCTTTTCCGCTGGCCATGTAGCGTTTCTATTCATTTGTCTCCCAGGTCTGTCACTGCTGGTGTCCGCCCT